TCCATACAGTATGCACTAAGTTTTCTTCCTCAATACTTCTATCATCTGGATTTAATAAATCCTCTCTCTCTTGCTTTAAAATGACTCTTGGATTTGACAATGACTCTGACTTCATCTTTGGATCATTCTAAGAAAATCCTAAACCGCTCTCCCTAATGGCTTTCTCTATTCAGTCCAAGTAATAGTGCTGAATTTGTCATCATTCTTTCGTTCAAGTGTCTACCTACTGCCAATGGCCTCAAGTAAAACCTTTGTCTTTCTCAAAAAAGCATTCCATAATATCCTACCATCCTGTGTATTCTGCCTCTTCCCCCGTATTCTTTGCTATATATAACTAAGTCCAGTGAGTCAACTTCTCAAAGTTCCCTGGACAATCTGTTCCCACATTCTTGTTTTTAACTTAGGACACACCTTTAAATGTGTGGAAAAGGAGGTGATCTGTTGATGTTGCAAGTCTGCAAGAATTAGGTGGAAACCTGAATGCTATATTGGCAATTCTGAGAAATTAAAAGAATCAGAGAAGGGTTTGAGCGCAGAAATACTGATAGAAAGACAGAGTTGAAAATTGCATAGACAAAGAAGAGACCGAAGGTTATGATTTGTATCACTGGAGGGAATTAGATACATAAGTATGTTATGAAGTGGTATATGGGACAAAATGGTGAATGTTGAATCAGGAAAACCCGAGGTCAAATTCTGCCTAATTTACTAGCTGTGGGGCTATTGGGCAAATCATTGAAATTCACAAAACTTTAGTTTCTTCATCTGCAAAATGGGAATAATAATAGCACCCACCTCAAATGGTTGTTGCAAGAATCAAAAGAGACACCATATATGAAGAACTCTGCAAATCTTGAAATGGTATATAAATGCTAGCAGTTATTATTATTGGTATTAGTATTAGTATCAGTAATGGTTGCAATAGTACTAGAGACAGAAAAATGGATTCCATGAGTACATTTTCTTTTTCATTTATATAGTATGTTTATTCATTTAATCATTTTACTTTGTCAATCTATCTCTCCCACTACTCTCCTCTACCATGTGGGAAATTACAAAAAATGAAAACGAAAGCCCTAAATACATAGCTGCATAGTCTGGCAAAAAAAAAAAAAAAGTCCCTCATTGGCCATGGCAGAAGTACATTTCTACAATCAATCATTGATATCATAGAAGCTAAATGTAAATTATGTTCTGGAATCAAATAGCAACACCTAAATGCTATCATAAGAATTTGATTGGATTATTTTTCATTTCTCAAGTATCAAATGTGATTTATTTAGATTTCTATATTTTTTTATCATCACATCAAAGTCAACTTATACCTACACCCTCTGTCTAAGTATACTCCTAACCACCCTAATAGAGATACAGTTCTTAAGATTTACAAGTTTTATCTTCCCATGTAGGGATGCAAACAGTTTTCCCTTACTGATTACTATGGTCAGAGCTCTTTTTGTTTTTTTGCTCATTTTTAAAAGCTGATATCTAGGCTCTTTTTTTTGATCATGGCTCTCAGGTAGTACAATAACTTCTAAATTACCTCTCCTGGATCTATTTTCCAGGTCAGTTGTTTTTCCAATGAGATATTTCACATTGTTTTCTATTTTTTCATTCTTTTGGTTTTGTTTTACAATTTCTTGATTTCTCATAAAGTCACTAGCTTCCATTTGCTCCATTCTAATTTTTAAGGAAATATTTTCTTCAGTGAGTTTTTGAACTTCCTTTTCCATCTGGGCAATTCTGTTTTTAAACACATTCTTCTCCTCATTGGCTTTTTGGACCTCTTTTGCCATTTGGGTTAGTCTACTTTATTTTTTTTTTTTGGCAGTTGGGGTAAGTGACTTGCCCAGGGTCACACAGCTAGTAAGTATCAAGTATTTGCTCTGAGGCCAGATTTGAACTCAGGTCTTCCTGACTTCAGGGCCAGTACCCTATCCACTGCACCACCTAGCTGCCCCTAGTCTATTTTTTAAGGTGTTATTTTCTTCAATTTTTTGGGGGGTCTCCTTTAGCAAGCTGTTGACAAGTTTTTCATGATTTTCTTGCATCACTTTCTTTTGTCTTCCCAATTTTTCTTCTACTTCTCTTACTTGCTTCTCAAAATCCTTTTTGAGCTCTTCCATGATCTGGAACCAATTCATATTTTTCATGGAAGTTTTGGATGTAGGAGCTTTGACTTTGTTGTCTTCTTCTGGTTGTTTTAATCTTCTTTGTCACCAAAGTAAGATTCTACGGTCTGACTTTTTTTGAGCTGTTTGCTCATGATCCCAGACAATTACTTGAGTTTTAAACTCTTTGTTAAGGTAGGGGTCTGCTTCCAGTGTGCAGAATGTACTGTCCAAACTCTTTTCAGAGATACTTCTAGGGACCTGTAAATTTTCAGTCCTTCCAAGGTGGTATGATCAAGGGTGAGATGTTTACTCCTTTCCTGCTTGTGCTCTGCTCTATGAGTAACCACAAGCACTCTTTTCTGCCTTGGAACTGTGAGGAGGCTTACCTCTCCACTACCACTACAAGCTCCACCACACCAGCATTCCTCCTTGGCCCAGGACCACCACCCAGAACTGCAACTCAGATCCAAGGAAAGGCAAAGCAAGAGAATCCTGCCTCAGTACCAGCAAAGAGATCCCTGCAATCCCCCTCTGATCAGTCACTCAATCCCCTTCCATCTGTGTGCCAAGAGCTCTGGAAGCAGCTACCGCTCCAGGGCTGTGCTGTGACTGGGTCCAGACCAACCTCCTCTCTCACCATGGTCTGACACTTTTTCTACTGACCTTCTAAGTTGTCTTTGGTGTTTGTGGATTGAGAAGTCTGGAAACCCCCAAAGCTCCCCTTTATTCAATCCCCTGAGGACTGCTCCAATTTCACTGAGGCCTGGTCTTTGCCTGCGTGGCTCACGCTAAACTGTGCTCCTCTCCTAGCCCTGTGCAATAGTTCTTTCCAATCAACCATCCAGGTTGTCTTGGGCTAGAAATTTGTTTCACTCTGGCTTTTTGTGGGTTCTCCTGTTCTAGAATTTGTTTAGAGCCATTTTTCAGGTATTTGGAGGGGTTTGTGGGAGAGCTCAAGCAAGTCACTGATTTTATTCCTCCATCTTGGTTCTGCCCCCCATTAATGTTGTTTCAAAGGGAAACTATGGAAAACTCAGACAACTTCTTGGCTTCTTTCCGCCATCTTGAAGTGGCCTCCCTTAGATTTTTATATTTCTGCTTTTACTGAGACAATGAAAACTACATGGATCCATGTGAAAGTTAATGCTGTTTAAGTATATATCTTAATAGCTTACATCTATCTAGCAATTTGCAAATGTAAAGTGCTTAAATCACAGCATCTCATTTGATCCTTATAACAGGCACAGAAGTAGGTAATAAACTCATTATTATCCCTATTTTACAGATAAACAAACAATAGTAGAGGGAAGTTAAATGATTTTTCCCAAGGGTACTGGGTTAAGAAGTAGCAATGCCACATTTAGAGTCTAAATCTGATGCAATATAATTAAATCATTTTTGTTCATTTTAAGGCAGGGGAAGATGGGGATGGAAATAGAGGCGGCTACAGTGACTGATGAATTTCTGATACTTCAGCAGATATTAACAAAAAAGTCCCTGTTTTTTTTTTCTTTTTAGGCTCATCTTATCTATGTCAAGGGACCCCTTAACACCTCATGCCTCGTATATTCAGAGGTGGTTGATGTCTACTAATTCTAGATTTGTGCATTTATAGAATATATAGATATAGATATAGATATAGATATAGATATGTATATTCTAAGTCCTTGCATCTACCTCAGTATAAATGCACATAGCCCTTCATAGGTATAGGCCATCTAGAAACAGTAAGCAAGCAAAATGGCTGCAGCTGTGTATATATATCTTTAATTCCTGAAATCAAGTAAGGGGGGGCAGTAACCCCAGATAGCTGTGATGGAAGGCATACAAGTTTTATACTCTTTCACAAGAATGTCCACAAAACTGATTTGTAAACAATAAACTTTGCAGTTAGATCAACTTAGTGTGAGGTGCTCGACCTTGAAATCCTGAACCTAAAGGAAATCTAGTGGTCTCTTCATTATACCATAGCTACCTTCATAAACTGGCAAAAATAATTGCCAGGTATCTCCAGATTACCTGTTCTACAACAACAATGTTGATGATGACGAGTAGCAACTTTCAGGTATTGGAATACTGGCAGACATTGACTGTCAGACCCATTTGTCAGCAATTGACAGTGAACTCTCAGCAATAAAAGGCTTAATACATTATTCTCCATTTAGTGCTCCTGAAAAGGTCACGGCCAGCTAGTTTGTCCTGGGAGACAGGAGCAGATGACGGTAAAACCTATGTTCAGTCCCTGCCGTGGGGAGCAGAGAAAATATTCACATGCTAGAATCTAACTGGCTGCTCTGTTCAGTTATTTGCATATTAGTTCTCCAGACCTGTCCCAGGGCTTTACCCCCTTTCACGGGCTATTGTCTTGGTGCTTCCTCCACAGTTCTCAAGTCACAGATTCTTCCACCCTCGGGACTGATTTTCTAGCCTACTCTCAGAATCTCAATGCTTTAGATTCTTCCCACAGTTACATCATAGCTTCAGTTTGAATTTAACAGCCCTAAAGTGTTGGGTTAGGAAGGTAGGGAGAGACAAAAGCCACTGGTGAGAACTTTCAATTAGTTATCATTTTTACTACTTTAAACTCATCCTCTCAGTACAATGTTATCTTAGCTACCATAAGGAAATTCTGGTCAGTCATTACATTTACTTTACGTGTTTTAAATTTAATTTTGAGTTTAATATTTGTCTTCATCTGAAATACATTTTCTCTTTGAATGTCAACTTTTCCCTAAAAATGCCCTCCTCCCTCACCCAGAATTCGGGAAGGAATTAAACATGTAAAATGAACAGACTATCTGTTAATTATTAGAGCATAATTTTTTTAAAAAAATTATCTGTTGCATTAATAAGTATAACTCAGAGAAAAATTTTGAACTTGAGTACCTGATGCATATTCCTCAACTCATCAGTGAAGTTGTTAACTTGTGATAAAATCAGAGATATGACAGGTTTTCTTAAAAAACTGCACTTCCCCAGTATGACCAGACTATTAGAGATGTAATGCTGCACCTGAAACTAAATACAAAAATAAGTAAGTTTCAACACTCTGTCAAATCAAATTAAGTTATAATTGTTAGAGTCTAGTATTTGCCCAAGACTTTGGTAAATGCTATTAGGGCTACTAAAGAAGAAGCCTTGATATGGAGGTACTAGTTAAAACTAAGGAAGCAAGACTGTCTTTGGTGATCTCATACATGTGTGTCCAAGACTTCCAGTAACCTTTTGCTGCTTATATATCATCCTATTGAGATGGGTCCTCTTCTGACAGTGGTCCATGCTTAAAAGTTAACCTTCTTTCTCCCAATAACACTCATTCCTTTAATTCAACTGTCTTATTCAGCTGTTTGAGAACCATGGAGCAGTGTGCTGATCACATTAAGGTGTGGTGACTAACAGTTTGCCTTCTGTGTTATCCCTGATTGTATAAAACAAAGCTCTAACAATTCATTTTCCATTATACCATTTTTTGAGCAGGGGAGGCTTCCTGAAGTACCTAGCAAACCACTCACTTCACTAAGGCATATAAGACAGTTTCTGTCTCTGTTCTAGATGAGCTTACAATAATATTGTTAAGAACAACAGGATTGTGTACCCTTCACCCTCTTCTCTTTTCTTTGTACTCTCGCTTTTTTTTGATCTTCTTTACTACCTCAGCTTCACTTATCAATTCTATGTTGACAATTCCCAAATCTCTATCTGTAGCCTTTATCTTTCTTTTCTGAGCTCCAGACTTTCATCTTGCATGCCTAATGCTCTAATCCCCCAAATGAATATGTCATTGGAAATTCAAATAAACTGTTTTCAAAAATAGCTTTTTCCCCTATTTTCTGCTAAAACTCTAAAATTTCTTCTCCCCAGTCCCATCTTCTTCTTTTTCTAATTTTATTATTTCTCACTATGTCACTCTGTCTCCCTGGATTAAATTGTTGTATTATCTTTAACCACTTCCTCTTGCTCACATCTCATAGACAATCACAAATCGGTCATGGTGACTCTTACACCTAAACAATGTCCTTCACATCTATCCCCTGTATTTCCATTGCCACATCTCTGAAGTAGGCTCTCATCACCCATCTGGGATACTGCCTAAACTAGACCTTCTTGCCTTTTTCCCCTCCCCTTTCCTATTCATCTTCCAAAATGCCACCAGAATAAGCTTTCCACTTATCATGCCTCTGTTCAAAACTCTTCAGTTGTACGCTACTATGTATAACGTTTAAAAAAAACATTTTGCTTGGTATTCCAAGTTCTCTAAAATCATCTTTCAGTTTAGTAGAGAATGAAAAGCTGGGGTTTGGGGTAGAAAGGGAGAGGAGAGAAAGAAGTAAAGGAGAACGAGGTAAAGAGAAGAAGGAAGAGAGGGGAGAGAAAGCAAAAGCAGAGAGATTGCAGTCATGAAGGTGAGTGGAGACAAAGAAAACTGTCATATCCTCCATGACCAATGGCTTCAACTATTATAGACTAAACAATATAGGGAGACAATAATGATTTATGATAGCTAGCCTTTACATACTGCTTAAGGATTCCAAAGCATTTTGCAAATGTATCATTTTATCCTCACATCAACCCTGGGAGCTATTTATTATTATCATCCATATTTTACAGATGATGAAAACTGAGGCAGAGAGAGGTAAAATGATTTGACCAGCGTCACACGGGTATAAGACAACTCAGGTGCTCCTGACAGCAGATCCATTGTGCAGCAACCTAGATATCTATACACTGGGAGCCCAGCATTGCCCCTGTTCCAAGCTAGATGAGACAACAAGAAAAGATTCTATCTGAGTGATTCAAGATCATCATGGGCCCATGAACAGTGGTTGACTCAATTTGCTAAGTGGGATCAATCCAAGAGGGAGAAGGTAGTTTTCCTGCTAAGTCAAACACCTTAGACCCCTAGTCACTGCTACACATAATATACACAAGTCAAATTAGCCTACTTTCTCACCCCCTTCCACCAGGCCCCTGTGCTCACCTGTCTCCCTATTCTTTAATTTCTTTCCCTCTCTCTTACAATGAACTCTAGTCCTTTTAAGCAAAATTCATATGCTAACCCCAGGAAAGTCTTTCTGATCCCCTCACCTTAGACAATAACAGCCTTCCTCTCAGACCTCACATAGCACTTTAATAACTCTATAAGTCAATCATTATATTATATTGTGTGCATATGCATTTGTGTATGGGTTGGTGTACATGTGTGTTGGTGTCCAGTAAAAACATAGCAACGATAATAACATATATTTAACACTTAAAGATTTGCAAAGCTCTTTAAATGTATTGTTTTTTTTCTTTCTATGAGGAACCTGAAGCCAAAGAGATGTAAAATGATATGTCAATAGCTACACAGAAAAGGACTGTGATTTATAACACAGTCATTTTTGTAAGAACATAGGAAAGTTATAGAAAGAGACCAGTCTAGAATATGCTGCAGGGGGGAGTGTCTCTCAGAATTTCATAGTTAGGTTATTAAATATGATTTGCAGAGAATTCTTTTAGACTTCTCCAGCAATCTGGAAGGTTCTACTAAGCATGGAACTTGAAGGTTGAAAGGGTGAGGTTAAAACAATTTCCTTACCAAAGGATCTCTCAATCTTTTTTTTCTGTTTGAGCAAATGGATCTCTGGGGAGAATTGCTTTAGCCAATGGTTGTAAGTCCTAAAATGGGACAGTTCATTTGAAAGCCTCAGAAGAAAGCAGTGTGATTTACGTCTGAATTTATAAATCAAACAGAAGAAAGACATGTTTGGGAGAAAATAAGCATTTAATGGAATTCTAAGAAAAGGTCAAAGGCCAGACCTTAGAATAATCTTCTGTACTTCCTGCCACAGCTGGCTAAAGTGAATAAAGAGCTTCATATCATAGTCATTAGATGAGAGATGCCTGACTGTTAGAGTATGTCATCGGTTTCACGAGTACAATTAAACCATATTGGTGGGGGATCATGAACTAAAGATTGAAGAAGATTCTGGCCAATAAAATACCTACAACCTAGGGTATCTAGCTGAGGATCTAGGATGAAACTAGGACAGACAGTGGGGGGATATGGGTTATAATAATCACAAATACCACAAATAATATAGCTGTCCTATGGAGTGGAATAGCATTTTAAATATTTTTATCCTAGATCCTTTGAATATCTTCTATAACTTGTCATAACCCTTCTATCAACATCCTCCTCCCCCCCACACACTACACAAAGTAGGACAGAAAAGAAAGACAATAATTAATGTCTTTTCCTTCCTTCTCCCTTTTCCCCTCACTAACTAATTCACAAATACCAAATTTTTCCCTGAACTATATTCTTTCTGACTAAGGTTGTGGTTTAACTTAGGATAGAGAGGAATAGGTAGTGGCCCATTAGAAAAAGGTAGGTTTCAAAGTAAGACAAGCTGAGATTAGGGAAATAATAGCCTCAGGAAGAATTGACAGGGAAAAAGTTGATAAGAAAGCATACTGTAATAACCAAGAAAGAAATTGCTGGACAGAGTCAAATAAACTTCGCTTTTTCAAAGAAGATTTGTAGAAGTTCTGAGAAAAGACAGAGACATTTCTATGACTAGAATTTATGAAAGGCAATGGAAAGTTCTAATCATTAAAATTACAACAATATAATTGTGAATAATCAAAATGAGGAGAAAAAAGGCATAGGTATTCAAGGAAATAAGATTGGTTGAGGAGGCCAAGGATTATTTAAGTGTACTAGACAAATGAAAGAAGGAAGACCTAACCAAAAATGAATACAATACAATGACAGTAACCTGTAAGAATGTAACGAAATAAAGTCCAAAAGGGAAAGAGGCATGTAAAAATGCTCACTTTAGTGTTTTGATGGATCTTCATTCTTAAAACTGTCAATATTCCCTAACCTAGTACGGGGAAAAAAACCCTCACTTAAGACTTCTCATCCTGTGTGATACTTGTCCATCTTTCCATAAATTCTCCACAAAGGATCCACCCAACATGTTAAAGACCTCAATTTTTCTGGGTAATTGATTCTTGGTTGTAATCTAAGCTCCTCTGCTTTCCTGACTATGATATTCCAAGCCCTCTGATTCTTTAATGTAGAAGCTGCCAAGTCATGTGTAATCCTGACTGTGGCTCCTTGATATTTGAACTGTTTGTTTCTGGTTGCTTCTAGTATTTTTCCTTGACTTGATAGTTCTGGAATTTGGCTCCAATATTCCTTGGAGTTGTCATTTTAGGATCTCTTTCAGATTCGATTGGCGTATTCTTTCAATGACTATTTCACCCTCTGGTTCTAGGATACCAGGGCAGTTTTCCTTGATAATTTCTTGAAAGATGCTGTCCAGGCTCTTGTTTTGATCATGGGTTTCAGGTAGTGCAATAATTCTTAAATTATCTCTCCTTGATCTATTTTCCAGGTCAGTTGTTTTTCCAATGATGTATTTTTACATTTTCTTCTATTTTTCCATTCTTTTGATTTTGTTGGACTGATTCTTGATGTCTCATAGAGTCATTAGCTTCTACTTGCCCAATCCTAATTTTTAAGGAATTGCTTTCTTCAGTTAGCTTTTGCACCTCCTTTTCCATTTGGCCAATCTTATTTTTCAAGGAATTGTTTTCTTCAATCAATTTTTGTGATTTCTTTTCCAAGCTGTTGTTGACTCTTTTTTCATAATTCACCTGTATAACTCTTAATTCTTTCCCCAATTTTTCTTCTACTTCTCTTACTTGATTTTTAAAACCCTTTTTGAGCTTTTCAAGGGGACTTTTTGGGCTTAAGATCAATTTATATTCCCATTTGAAGCTTCTCACGTAGGTATTTTGACATTGTTGTCCTCTTCTGAATTCATGTTTCATTCTTCCCTGTTACCATAGTAGCTTTCTATGGTCAGGGCTCTTTTTGTTTTATTTTGCTCATTATTAAAAGTTGACCTCTGCTCCTGGGTATAGGGGGCACTATCCTAAGTTTCTTTTCCTAGGGCCCAGGGACTGGTCACTGGCTTTCTGTGCTGGAGTCTCTAGGGCTGGCAGCTTGCCCACTGCACTAAGGT